CGCGGCGGGCGGCGATGACGTGGCTGACGGCGCAACTTCCAACCTGGTGGAGCGGTACGATCCGGCGACGAACGCGTGGGAAGCGGTGACGCCGCTGGCAGATGCGCGGTATGCTCACGGCATGGCGGTGCTCGACGGCAAGCTGTATTCGGTGGGCGGACAGGATACCAATTACCACGCCCTCAATTCAGTCGAGCGGTACGACCCTGCGGTGGGCGCGTGGGAGGCGGTGGCGCCGATGACGACAGCGCGGGAGTCTCACGCCGTGGCGGCGCTCGACGGCAAGCTGTACGCTGTGGGAGGCCACAACCACGACGACGGCTCCCTCAGCTCGGTGGAGCGGTACGACCCGTGGACGGATGCGTGGGAGGCGGTGGCGCCGATGGCGACGGCACGGGACTCTCACGCCACGGTTGTGGTCGACGGCAAGCTGTACGCGGTGGGAGGCTGCAACGACGACGACGGCTTCCTCAGCTCAGTCGAGCGGTACGACCCGGCGACGAACGCGTGGGAGGCGGTGGCGCCGATCGTGACGGCTCGGTGTAATTTTGCCATGGCGGTGCTCGACGGCAAGCTGCATGCGGTGGGCGGGTACAACGGTGACGATCGGCGAGAGGAACCGCTCAGCTCGGTCGAGCGGTACGACCCGGCAGTGGGCGCGTGGGAGGCGGTGGCTCCGATGGCGGCGGTGCGGATTAAGGCTTTCGCTGTCTTGATGTAGTCGCCGTTGTGTGCGTGCTATAGTCGTACGGGGTGTGGAGGGTGAGTTGACCAGGGGTTGTGCGCTGGGCCCTCCTGCTCGGCTCCAGCGAGTAGACAAGTGTTGTCATCAACAGAGTAGATGTATCTGACCTCGGGGCCGATGTGACCAAGCGCTGGTAGCGTGGTTTTACCTCACACCCATGGTCTCACAGTGTGCCGGCAGTCGCCGAGCAGTGTCGCTCACACAAGCCGCAGCACAAGTGACTGAGGGCCAGTGAGGGCGAGCCCATCGCTGTCACGGCTGTGCCAACTGTGCAGAGTGTGTGAGCAGCAGACGAGCTGCTCTCCAGGCTTCTGTCGCAAAGAGCTGCATGCCACCGAAGGCGCTGTCGCTCTGGGGGGGCGCGGGGCCCCCCGGAGGCACCGTGCGCCGTGCAGCAGTGCGGAAACGGGGCTCCGGCTCCGTTAGTCTCCGTTAGCACCGACTTCCCGATTAAGCTAGGTTAATCAGAGGGCAGATTTGGAGAGATCTCGAGGAGTACATACAGACAGACCCTCCAACCATCAGAAAACTCCGACCTGATCGGTCGTACTGACCGCCGACAGATCACTCCAGACAGCAGACAGGCCGACGTCTGCACGCGGCCGGCCGGGCGAGAGGCTTGACACGATCCGACCCTGCGAGACCCTGACGCTGCTGCTCTAGCTATCAGACATGCGCTGCTGACTGCTGCCACAATGTGCGACCGGTGCTGGCCCACTTGGCGGCCTTCCCGGTCAGTGGTGAGGCGCAGTTCAGAGCTGTCGATGGCGCGATGCCGCACTGGTCCCACATTGGTAACACGAGACCACCACGTTTGCCGGTCCAAGAGAGAGGCACTGGTGCTGTCCTGAGAAGGTTCGTGGTCCCTCTTGACTGCCCATGCGCGCGAGGCTGTGTAGGCATAGCCTCGAGAGTGCCAGCAGCCAATCTGAGGCAGTTTGTGACGCGCATTGCGTCAGAAGCGTGCACGCAGCTGGAAGGACACCTTCCTACTGGCCGTACGATCAGGTCGTCACTGAATGCTTGATACTAAGGCCGCGAGCTATGCAGGTGATGAATTGTGCAGCATGGCACGGTCAGCAGCGCCGACAGGCTGTCGCAAGGCGTGATAGCATGGCCGCAAGTAACGCCGAGTTCCCATGAAAACAAGTGAAAATTTGCGCAAAAAAAAGAAAAAAATCCGAAAAAAATCGGCGCCTGCGGCGGGCCATGGGACCCCATCGCCCCCCCGCATGGATACCCTCTAGGGCCCCCGCGCCCCCCCAGAGCGCTGTCGAGGTTCGCCGAGGCCCGAGCGCGGCGAAATCCGGGGGCACCGTCACCGACGAGCGTTGGACTTTTCACTCCGGACAACGACGGGGACACAGCGGTGCGGGGTGTGTCCCCGTCATAGCGGCGAGGCGCGGGACCGTCTGTGGCGAGGTGCTGTGGCGAGGTTGTGGCGAGGTGGGTCGCGTCCCCCGATTTTCCGCCGCTTTTGCAAGATATTTTCTTTATTGTCGGGTGGAGACATCTGTAGCCGTGGTGGCAAGGCTTGATCGTGCTGGCTCTTGGTGTGTCACGGCTGGGTCTGGCCCTGGCGAGGAGAGTCGAGAGAGAAGGAGCAGAGAGTGCGTGCTGGGCACCAAGACTTGGAGCGTGGCCAACAAGCCCCGCGCGAGCGCCCCGCGGTGCGGCATGCGGGCCACCGACTCATCTCAACTCCGGCTGTAGAACCACTGGTCTCCGCCGGTGCAGCGCGCGTACGAGTAGATGCACTCTCGCGCGTCGCGGCGGCGCTGCGTGATGGCCTCCTTGGTGCACTCCTCGGTGAAGTCGCAGCAGAGGCCGTACCTGTTCACAGCCGCCGCCGGGCCGCTGTGAGAGGGGCGGCGTTCGCGGCGGAGCGGCAGTGCGCCACTGTCCGCAGTTCGCTGCGCCGGGGAGGGTGACGGGGATGGGGGCGACGGGGGCGGGGGCGACGGGGGAGGTGGCGAGGGCGGCGGTGGCGAGGGAGGTGGTGGCGAGGGAGGTGGCGACGGGGGAGGTGGCGACGGGGGAGGTGGCGAGGGTGGCGGTGGCGAGGGAGGTGGCGACGGGGGAGGTGGCGACGGGGGAGGTGGCGAGGGTGGCGGTGGCGAGGGAGGTGGCGACGGGGGAGGTGGCGACGGGGGAGGTGGCGACGGGGGAGGTGGCGAGGGAGGTGGCGACGGGGGAGGTGGCGAGGGAGGTGGCGACGGGGGAGGTGGCGAGGGAGGTGGCGACGGGGGAGGTGGCGACGGGGGAGGTGGCGAGGGTGGCGGTGGCGAGGGAGGTGGCGACGGGGGAGGTGGCGAGGGAGGTGGCGACGGGGGAGGTGGCGAGGGAGGCGTGGCGCACCCGTCGACCGAGATGAAGGGCGGCAGCTGCGAGGTCGAGCTCGCGCCGACCATCTTGTCGTAGACGATGCGGGACACGTGCGAGCCCATGTTGCCTGCCCGCAGCAGCACGGTGTGAAGAGACGCCGTCCGCAGCGGGCGGGACACGTGCGAGGGGTGTTGTTGCCGACGAGCATGTCGGCGCGCGAGAGCAGCTCGATGGCGGCGGCGATGGAGAAGGGGACGTGCTCGTCCACGTCCTGATCTCGGGTAATCTCGGGTAATCTCGGGTAATCTCGGGATGGAGAAGGGGACGTGCTCGTCCACGTCCTGGCGGAACTCCATCCACCCGCGCTTCTGGAACTGGCCGCGAGGGAAGTCGAGCAAGACAAAGTTGAGCTCCTGCCCGCGGCGCGGACGTGTGAACAGAGGCCGCCCGCCTCCACCCTCGCCACCCGTCGGCAGAGGCGGCGGGGAGGGAGGGAGGGAGGTGGCGGGCAGGAGGGAGGGTCGGCGCTCCTTCTCCGCCTCCACCTCCCTCATAACTGTGCCGTCGTGGTCGTCCGTCGCGAGCAGCACGGTGCGCACGCCTGCTGTGAACGGCGTCTCTTCACAGCGCGCTGCCGTGAAGAGGCGACGTGACGGCGGTGCGCGCGCCGTAACGCCGCTGCATCTCGCCCAGCGCCGCGCGGTACACCTTTCGGGCGGGCGTCGGTCGAAGTCTTCGGCGAGTGGAGTCTGCTCACGTCCCTGGCCCGACCGAGTGTGCTGCGCGGCGCGTGCCCCCGCCCGAGGTAAAAACTTTTGGTCTCACCTTCCACGAGTAGCACCACCGGTAGTTCACCCGTTCAAGCTTCCCCTTCTTCTCGTCCAGCGCAAACATCGCGTTCCTGCCGCACGGACGGCCTCGTCGCGTACGCGCAGTGTGGCGCACAGTGTGACGAGCTTGACCTTGGACAGAGGCGAGCTCGCCCCCGTCATCAAGAGTGTACCCTCTCGAGCTGGACGTGGGCACGGATCTGGCTTGCGCTTCTAGGATCGGGTTCCACGGCCCGGGCTCGTCCCGCCTCCGGTCGCACGAGTCGCCGTGTCGCACGTGCGCCTGCTCACACCCCCAGAGGTGTGAACAGGCGCTCTTCACACCCTCGAATCGCCGTGTCGCTCGCGCGCCGCGGCGAGCGGCGTCGCAGCCTCCAGCGCGGTGCCGCCACAGTACGGCCCCGGCACGTGGCACACCACCTTGAGGTGCTGGTCCATGTACGCCACCAGCGGCTCGGAGGGCGTCATGAAGACCTCCGAGACGGCAGACGCGACCAGATATTGCACCATCGACGCCGCGTCGGCACTTCCATTCCGCGAGGAATTGTACAGCTCCGCCGCTGCCGCCGCGAGCGGCGACTCTGCCGGCGGCGCCACCCCGCCGCCCCGCCTCCGCTGGTGCGGGAAGCGCTGCCACAGGCAGTGCCAGCCCGTGCCTGTTCACAGGCAGAGGTGTGGGAGACGCCGTTCACGGCGCTGCCACAGGCATTGCCAGCGCGACGCCCAGATCGCCGCAGCGGCGGCTGTTGCGCAGCGGAGAGGAGATGGTGTTGGGGCCGCCGTAGTCGAGGACGTTCCAGCGGAAGCCGGGCTGCGGCAGAGGGACATACCTCTCCCCCGGCACCATCGGCTGCCTGAGGAGCGAGAGGGCCCGAGCTTTCCCGAGATGGCTCGAGGCTGCCCGAGCATGCGCGAGAGTGGCACCCTCGGCTGCCTGAGACGTGGCTTTGCGCGCGGGGGGAGGGTGAGGTGGAAGTAGTTGACCATCGCGAGCTGGTGCACCTACCAGCTCTTCATGACTGACCATCGGGCACCACCCATCAACAGCAGTAGCTGGTCGACGCGAGCGTGGGCGCCATCTTTCCGATCGTGCGTGGCGGTGTGGCGGCGATGCGGAACGGCTGCTCGTCCCACTCGGCCAACCAATGCTCCGCCGTCATGCGGGCCTGTTCACAGCAGGAGGTGTGAAGAGACGCGTCCTCCGCCACCAGCCCGCGCTCCGCCGTCATGCGCGCCGCGAGGGCCGTGAAGAAGCCTCGCTGGCACTGCGTCGCCGCGCCACGGACAGACCTCCACTCCGACAGCCACCTGCCAAATGAATGAAGCAGCTCAATTGATGGAGGAGCTGTCCCTGCTCCGCCTCGGTCCTCCACTCGTATACAGCCACCTGTCAATGCATCAATCGTTCCTTCATACTTCGTCTCCGCGCGCCCCTCCACTCAAACAGCCACCTGCTCCCCTCGGGCAGGAAGCGGTCCTGCAGGTCCCACTGCACGTCGCATGCGAAGCCGGCGCGGCCGCCAGGGCAGGGGCGACGCCACAGCCTGAGGATCGGCACGTCCGCCTCGGTGCACGCGGCCAGGGCCGCCGCCTCCGCCGCTTCGCGAGCTGCGGACGCCGCTGCGGACGCTGCGGCTGAGCCGATGGCGGCAGAGGAGGCGGTGGCGGCGGCGGAGGAGCCGGCGCTGCTTCGGTTCGCCGCCGGCGCGAGCCGACGGAGCTGCTCGAGCTGCGCCGCCGCCTCGTCGTGCTGCTGCTGGAGGGCACGCGAGAGCGCCCTGACCTCCGAGGAGAGAGCTCTCACCGCGGCGGGCGACGCCGCCAGCGCCTGCGGCGCGGCCGCCTGGCGAGTCTCGACGGGCTGCTGCTGAACGAGCGCGAGGCCGAGCAGGAGCGCGGCCGTCGCGATGCCGACGAGGAGAGCCACGAGGTTGTGCGTGAGGAGCGGGCGCGCCATGTGTTGTGACACCGCGAACAGAGGTGAGAAAAAATGTATTATCCTAACGGTGTGGGGGCGCGGAGGGCTTGTTGGCGAGCCAAAATGGTGTTTTCCGAGGCGCTGCGCTAGGCTCAGAGCGAGTTCGCGCTGCGCTAGGCTCAGACGGCGAGTTCGCGCTGCGCTAGGCTCACAGATGCGAGTGCGCTGCGATAGAAGAAAAAAACAGGGTCGAAACGACAACCGAAGGGAGGACTGTGTAGTGTAATCATGTGTCAAGAATCACGTGCTGCTGCTGCTGCTGCTACTGCTGCTGCTACGCGGCGAGCGCCGTCGCCGAGGCGGGCCTCGGCGGAGAGCGCGATTATGCGGCCTTTTCCGCGACCCGCACAAAGAAGAGGCGCCCTCCGTCAGCCTCGACCTGCCACCGGCTCGCGTCGACCGACCCGGCCGCGTGCCACACCTCCACAGCCCAGTGCGCCAGCCCGCAGAAGTTGCCCTCCTCGATGCCCCATCCCGTGGGCCACGCGGCCAAGGCGGTGCCGAGAGGCGGCGGCGGCGCCGCGGTCGCCTCGAGACGCGCCGCGACGGCGTCAAAGGCGATCCGCCTCGCGCCCGTCGCGGCCGCCTCGGCCAGCAGCGCCTCCCCGGCCAGCCGCGGGAGGTCGCCCTCCGTCTCGAACCAGCACGACGAGCGGCCGTCGGCGCACGCCTCGTCCCACGCCTTGAGCTGGCGGACAAAGGCCGCCAAGCTCTTGAGGCCGGGCGAGGGCGCGGCGGGCGACGGGGCAAGGGAGCAGCCGGGCGAGGAGAGGTAGGAGGTGCTCGCCGGCGAGCGCTCCCGCGCCTGCGAAGGGGCAAGGCCTGAGGGCGGGCGGGCGGGCGGGCGGGCGGGCGCGGGTGGGGGGGATACACGCTGCGCCGCCAAAGGAACCAGCGACACTGGCCGCGGCTCGTCGCCACGCGCCGGCTCGGAAGAGGGGCTGTCGGCGGCTCGAGCGGCGAGGCGTGCCACTCTGCTTCGCCGCCGACAGCCCCTCTTCCGAGCCGGCGCGTGGCGACGAGCCGCGGCCAGTGTCGCTGGTTCCTTTGGCGGCGCAGCGTTTATCCCCCCCACCCGCGCCCGCCCGCCCGACCGCCCGCCCGCCCTCAGGCCTTGCCCCTTCGCAGGCGCGGGAGCGCTCGCCGGCGAGCACCTCCTACCTCTCCTCGCCCGGCTGCTCCCTTGCCCCGTCGCCCGCCGCGCCCTCGCCCGGCCTCAAGAGCTTGGCGGCCTTTGTCCGCCAGCTCAAGGCGTGGGACGAGGCGTGCGCCGACGGCCGCTCGTCGTGCTGGTTCGAGACGGAGGGCGACCTCCCGCGGCTGGCCGGGGAGGCGCTGCTGGCCGAGGCGGCCGCGACGGGCGCGAGGCGGATCGCCTTTGACGCCGTCGCGGCGCGTCTCGAGGCGACCGCGGCGCCGCCGCCGCCTCTCGGCACCGCTTTGGCCGCGTGGCCCACGGGATGGGGCATCGAGGAGGGCAACTTCTGCGGGCTGGCGCACTGGGCTGTGGAGGTGTGGCACGCGGCCGGGTCGGTCGACGCGAGCCGGTGGCAGGTCGAGGCTGACGGAGGCGCCTCTTCTTTGTGCGGTT